GAGGTGAGAGTCCGTAAGTGAGTAGGTAGTTCTTGGAGCTCGTTGGTAGTTCTTCGATTCTCGAGGGTTCGTGGACTACCGTCTTCGTATGCACGCTTCTGAGTGCTATAAAGAATCCTTGAACGAAAATCATCCTATCATACTTATCCTGATTTCCTCTTTTTTCGTCCACGATAATCCAATTTCTATTTCAGCATTTCTTTTTTTTCTTTTTTTTTTTCGATTCAGAATCTTTTCTTTCATCTTTTTTTTCTGCTGATTTTATTTGACGATTCTGCAAGTGGAAAAATTGTACATAAAAATGATATGATAAGAATTTCTGAATTAATGAAATGGATAAATTTTTAAGAATATTAAATATTTGATACTGGATTGATATTCAAAAAAAGAATTCTGTGACGAAAGAATTCCATTTTGAAGTACCGAATAGATACCTACCTGTGCCTCCATCAGCAATTTGAAGAACGGTTTCCAGAGTTGTTTCACTCCCCCACAGAAATGGTTTTATTGTTCCGAAGGCGAAGAGCTCTCAAGCTCGAACGCCGGTGCGCAGTGTGAGAAGGTTCCGTAGGTTGACTCTTGCAGACACTTTTAAATCTTGGAAAAATATCTATTACCTCTTGTCGCATTACACCTGCCTGCTTTTTTTCTCCTTTTGCATTTCTGCAACATTGATCAACATTTAATTTCGTAATTATAAATTAGTTAAACACAGAACTTTTTCAATTTCTATTCTCTTTCACAAACTAATTAAAAACATGTTTCATTAATCTTCGATCTTCATCTCACTTCATCGTAGTCGCAAGAGTTAAATTAAAGAACAGAATCATTTCAATTTTTAAGATAATTTGGAAAAGAATTCGAAGAAAAATAAATAAAAGATGAAAAGATAATCAATTTCACATTGATGATTGACATGACTGATAGACGATTTTCTCGAGCATTCATTCGATCAAAGTTTGTTCTTCGCAAGAAGAAAACGGTTCCTTTTCAGTGGATATGCTCAATCAGCCAGCTCGCAATTCCCGAGCCAAGATCCACCGCTCTATAACTAACTTGCCATTATAGCGGTTGAAGTGTAATTATCTCGCGATAGTTCGACCACAAGATACTCCCGCTAACTAGAAGGCAATTTGTGGATACTGGCCATAATCGAATTCCCTCTGTGCTGTATAATACTGCACCAAAATGCTTCTCTTTCATTTTCTATTCACTTGCCTCCTTTTCTCCTACAATTAAAAAAAGGAACCATTAGTGCTAGTAAACATTTTAAGAATTGGTAAATATACGGACTTTACCGAAGATTTCGTGTACAAAGCCATTATATCTTCTGAGAATATAAGAAATTCAAAAAAAATTACATAGTTTACTTAACAACAAACAGTGGGAAAAAACTTTCCAACAAGGAAGGAAAATTTTAAATCGATATTAAAATTAAAACATCTTATTTAGATGTTTCACGATAAAAAGAAACATTTGTTTCATCACTTAACGTAATAGATAAAAGAAGATGTTAGATTATTTCTTTCAAAATTCGAAGCCACAATGAATCATCTATTAGACACGATCTAGAAGAAGACTAAAAAATAATCCTGACAAAATGTTCCAAGATCGAATCGTGTGATCATTGCCCATCATTCCACGAACCGAGGAATCAATGACTAATTATACCTTGTAACAACAACGTAGGGAAAAGGGTCTGGATCGAACCACGTTCAAGGGATATCGTATCGATCATTCATCGAGGATCTATGACAGGAACCGTGCCAGCTTGGATCCTTCAAATAACGAAGTAAGGTCGTTTCCTACGGAGGATGGTCTCACAGTTTTGGTGAACGAGTCATGGATATAGAAGCCAGTCTCTTCTTCTAAGAGCTAATTAATTTTTATAGCTTCGGTCGGGGAGCCTCTCTCAGTCCACTGCGCGTTCCTTATTCGGATCCTACGAGGGAATATTAATGGACCGGCCCGTTTGCTTCGCTCGTGTTTGCAGATTTCCTGCAGATCCTCTTTATTTGCGGATCGTCTCGTTGTTATAGCATTGACTCGACTTTCATACAGTGATTGTTCCCTTCGTGGAAGCACATAATTTAATAGTTTTTACAATTTATAAATTCTTTTCAATGGAAGAAAAATGAGAGATGGAAAATTGTAAAGCGTAATATATATAGAAATATAATACAATATGTTTCAACAATTCATACCAGTTTCCATAATAGACATATAATATTGTACTTTTGAATTAATACAGGTTGTAATCCTTTTCTAAGAAGCTTTTTCCTTGATAAATTCCTCCATTTTGTCAATTATAAAAATTTCTTCATCTTGCATGATTTCATTAAATAATCTTCGTTGAATATATTTTTTTTAAATTTTTGTTAAGTTGCTTGAATTACAAAGATCTTCGATCAATTTATAAAAAATATCGAAATGATCTGTGGATTTTTTTATTTAATTTTTATTTCGTTAAAGCAGTTTTTATAAGCAAACAATTCAACAGTTTTTATTATTCTATATAAAAATTCCTAAGAAGAGGATTTAATGAAAACGAAGGATGGTTGATCGATCAATTATATTCTCTAAAGAGGGGTCTCTGATCTTTCTGTAAAATTTATAGGAGCCATGATTTTTAATCTAAACAGTTTCATTATATAAAATTCTTCATCAGCCAGAAAAAATAAATAACCAGTCGATCAAGTGCATCTTTCTTCTAGATAATTAAGTTTTAGGGTTCCACACATGAATTCAGTAATTGTTTACCCAGGCATTCATATACAAATCAAACAGGCTCGTTATTATGCATGACAATAAATTATTGACTAAAAATTGGTTCGTAACAGATCTGAATAGATAAATCCAAAAAAACTTTTATGTGTTAGATTTAATATTTTGTTCAATCAATATTTATGCTGATATCAGATAGCATAAGAATGCAATAAAATTTGTTGACTTCACAAACAAAAATAAAATCTAATATTTTTTTCCTTTTTTTCTTTTTTATTTTTTGAAATTTTTTTATCATTTCTGAAAAAAAGATAAGAAAGAAATATAAAATATATAAATGTATAAAATAAATTAATATTATTAATATTGTTATATTATCTTTAACAAAGGCCGAATGATCAAAATTTATTGTTCGTTAATTTTATGTATTTTCCTTTTCATATTTTATTTAAAAAATTCTTCAATTTCTTGTACAAAAAACTGGATATTGGTTCATTTTCATAGATTGAAACATTTTTCCCTAAAAAGAAAAAATAAAATAATAAATAATTATATAAAAGAATCATCATGAATAAGAATTTTAAATTATTTCAAATAATAAATTATTTCAAATCTTTGAGAATTTCACGAATCTAATGTTTATGAAAGTTAATACTGAAAGCATTGTTCAATTTCTAATATAAGATCATGACTTAATCGTCGTATTCATATATGAAATAAAATGCTGTGCATGCAAATATATGATACGATGAAAGAACATATATTAACGCGAATGAATAGTCTAAATGATCTAAATATATACGATATTAAGGTTATAATTTATATTGTACCCGTATAAGTGTATCTCTGGCTGTGGCCTGTACATCATATAGATTGGTATCTTTATTAACAGAGGCAGATTTGATTCTTTTCATTTTTCCCATTGGTTAAACTTTGAATTCTTAATAAAATCTTCAACAATCGTAATTGAAAATATCTTTGATATAAAAGTTTTTGTTTCCACGAAAAATGTTTGATGTTATTTAATGTTTAAATTATAATGTTTTCAGATTTAAATACATTTTAAATTCCATGCACGATACATCAATTTGATTGACTAATGTTACAACTGAAGCAGACTTTCCTTGGGAATCTTGAGAAACTGAATCGCACACGAAATCGAAAGGAATTTACAAATAACCCACCAGAATTCTCAATAATTTCATGATTCTATTTTAAAGATGCATTCGAATATATATTTTATTCACAATTTATTCTAATATTCAAAAATATTTGATCTGATTTTATGGTTACATTTTTATTTTCAAAATCCGATTAGAATTGTTTTACCTCTGACTTTCCATCGTTATCGCATCCAACATGGAATGAATTAAAACAAGGAATGAAACGTATGGGGAGATCTCGGTAGTAAATCGGCAAGGAAATCCCTCTTTCGCGCCCCTTTGCCCCTTAGACACTCAGGCCATTCAGGCACTCACCGTTTTCCGCGACAATTGTCGGGCGCAATGCAATAATTGCATAATTCCCGCCACACTTACCACTTGGGGCGAAGTTGGTCGGGTCACGAGTGGTTGAACCGCGCGTTCATGAAAGGGTGTAGCCGTTTCGTAGCCACCGAATTGTAAGTTGTGAGTTGTAGCCACAAGGAGAGCCTTTTCTTTCATTCCTCGAACTTTGCTGAAGAATTTCATATGTGCGTCTTCCCTTCGGTTTCTTCCTATTACTCCCATGTTTTGGATTAATTGTCACAGATTAGTGAAATAATATATCAAGATAACCTATAAGTACAGTATAAAAATTAAAATATGAATAAGCAGAAAGTATTTTAAACTATAATTAAAATTATTAAGAAGTTAGTTAATATCATTATATGTTAGCAAAGTTAATAAAACAATTTAGAAGAAATAATTTGCACAGGTTACATAAAATCACTATGCTTGTGAAATATAAGTGAAAATTACTTGATTTATTGCTGGAAATGGTTAAATTATCTAGGTAGTAAGGAAGAGAAGCTGTGAGGAAGAGAAAAGATAGAAGGGTGAGAAGTGAAGAGAAAACAGATAGGCAAGGCTGCAAACCGCTTGACGAAGGAAATAGAATTCAGAGGAGAACTTCCTTCATTTCGACTTTTACCGGCTCTTAGCCAAAGCAACGTTGCGTTGTAACGGGTGACGTTCGCACAAAGGACGTTAAAGTTTTATGTGGACTATTTCTCTTTTTCATAGATATACGTCTCTCGGATGATAAAAACTTGTACAATTTACTGAGATCTGAATCGTTGTTACTACTAGAAGAAAAAAATCATAAAAAAATTAACTGACATTATATTTCTTTATATTTTATATTTTCATAACGCATTTGTTTATATTTAATCATTTTAAATCACTTACTCCATGAATAACATAAATTTCCCTTTAAAATGTTTGCTTCTATGATTTTTGTTACAAGTTTTCTATTGTATTTCTGAGAGATATTTCGACCTTTCTACAACGAGAAAATCGCTTAGCTAAACACGCACAATGAACGAGTCGTCACGGAAAATTCTTTCAATCGGTTACGATGTCGACCCCAAAGATTTGTCAGGATGTCGTTGGAGTCTTACTATGCGGGGATGGTTTCCTGGAAGAAAAAAAGAAAGAAAATGAAAGAAAGGCAAAAGAAATGAACTGACAATCTCATCAATTCACTGAGAAACATCCGTAACAGTATCTATCTAATAATATTTACTGCATGCTGAAACACGCTAAAAGGCTCTTTCTAAGATTGGACCATTCAAAAGTCAACATTAACTAAGCTATTGTCGGAATGATATAAAAGCGACTTACAGAAATATAATCTATAACATACCAATATTATATTTCTATTGCAAATGAGAAATTTAACAAAGTATAATATTGTAGAAGATAAATTTTAAAATTGTACTTTGATAAGAAATGATTATCGATTGGAACTGATGCGAGGAACATAAAGTAATTCAAAAAGATCACAAAAAAAAAAAAAAGAAATTTTATGAGCTGCATATACAATGCATACGATCCGGGCTGCGGCACAATTCGCCACTAATTGATTTTACGACATCCGTTATATTGACCGTGAAGATCATCTACAGAACTGCTCATGTTGTAGAGGGTGCAGATGACACCCTAGTGCGAGCCATGCATGACGCCCTTTTTCAGCGACGCAGATATATCCGAGGAATCTCCATGTACCCTGATCATCGAGAACGATCTGATCTATAGTCTGTAGCCATGTTCTGTTCTTTGTCCGTTTAATGTTTTACTGATAACAGCCGATCAAATCGAGTTGACCGAAGAACGAGAGGCAGGCAAACGAGAATTCAATCAAGAAGCCATTTCATCGAGATCTATAAAGACAAGATTAAAAAGTATCATTTATATTTAATTTTTTGTTATATAGAATATACAATGTTATATAAATATATATAGAATATTATATATATAGAATATTTTAATATAAAGAAATATGAGATAATTATTTATATAATATAAAAAGATACAGAGACTCACTCATAGAAGATATTTTTTATCATCTTTTTTTTCTCTTTTCTTATTTTACTACACATTCTATGCATTTTTTCGATTGAAACTTTAATGATGTAGAAAACTTTAATAATAAATATAGAAAAAGTGATAAAAGCAATCGGTGAAATGAGTCATGGATACAGGTCATAGTTTCAATTCTCGTCCAGTGGCATTAGTTGCCCATAGAAGAACAGAGAATCCCCCTGGCCTCCAATAGGATCGAGACGGGATCTCAAAAGGAGGCAAGATAGGAACGAAGGAAAGTCATCTCTCGTTCTCTACTGCTCCATCGCTATCTCTCACTCCAATGGACAATGAGACAATGGAGTGACGTTTGCGAAACGTGATAGCAGTCGGATTAATTCTCAATCGATTTGAAGGGAACCGTTTCTCCGCTTTGAGAATTTGTACTTTCCCAAAGAATACACAATCTGTTAACTATCTGACTTATCAATAAATTATATATATTTCAAATCATATAAAAATAATAATAAAAACTTTTTATAAATGAAATATAATTCTTCAATTAATCTTCATTCGAACTTTTTTATATATTATACATATATTTTGAATTTATAAAAATATAACCTACAAAAACAAGAACAGACACGCATACAAAAGGCTTACAATATCGAAAATTAAATTATTGCTATCTTAACCATCTGCTTGTTACTTTTACAAGCTTAAAAGCTAGTGCTGTCGCTCGTCAGATCAAAGCACACCGACGCTTCCGCTATCGAGAATGGAAAATATAACGCGAAACTCCCTAGTGAATACATTCGAAAGTAAGCAGTGAACTGATCGGCAAAGTACCCTGGGGATCGCTCAGAATTTTATACGAAAGAGAACAAAGAGTTCTGTTCGTGAGTCGACACTGTAATATATATATATATTCAGTATCACAGAATATATATATTGAGTATCACAGAGAAAATTGTTGCATCGATGTTTTGGGAATTCAAATATGCGATGCATCTATGATCCAAGACACGGATTGCAGATCAAAAGATTATATCAATTTATAGAGACCAATAAATATTTCTTTCCATTGAATATTTTATTCCAATATGATAATAATAATTCTGTCCAATCACTCTTTGTCTCATCTAGAATAATATAGTAACATGTGAAAAGAGGTTATGTTTTTACCAATTATATATTAAATTTAAATTATGTTAGATTTCTATTGACTCATGTAAATCAATATTGGATAGAATATAACATTTTCGACCAATGAACGCATGAATTGTTGTCACACGAGTTGACTTCAGGGTGGCTTGAAAATCGATGAACTTCTGGCAGGTCATACGACTAATCGTGATCGATGAACCGACGCGCAGCGGCACGTGACTAGTGATCTATCGCGTGGAAACGATTGATCGCAATATATAGATGAGCAAACATTTTTCTTTTTCGTCAAGCATCATTTTTTTAATGTATTTTTTTTTTAATATTTCAAATTATTTTACCATACATTCATTTCAAATACTTTTTTTTTTCAAAATTTTGCAAATTAAAAAATAAAATAAAATGAATAGATAAATTAAAAAATTGCTTTTAATTGATTTTAAAAATGTGACAAATTAGACAGAAAATGCAGAATAACTTGTTCTGTGATTTAAATCTAAATGTATGGATATAATCATATATCCTTGTATTCATTTTCAGGGTCTATGATCTCAAATAGCACTTTATAGTCAGATAGAAATCTTGAAATTATAGCTACATAGATGTTTCCAACAACAGAGAAGCTCGTTAGTGACTGGGAATATCTGTGACCCTCATTAGCTAATCATCTTTTAATTAGGTTGAGAAGAAAAAGACGCCGCCGATAGTCTGCAACGAAACTGTAATTACCTTGCTCTACCGGTTCAACAGGCACCTTTGTCTCTTCGAATAAAATTTAACAACTTGACGCATTTTAATCTCATGTGCATAAATAGATGCTGTATTAGATATTTTCATTTCTTAAGGTGACGATACCAGAATTATCTCTTTAATGTTTCTTTTGTAATTAATAACGTCATAGCTTTTCTAAACAATATTAGAAATGACATATGTCTTTAAAGTGATTATATATACAGTATCAGTATATTTTGCTTGCAAATGATGAATCATAATCACATAGAGCTACGAATAAATATTAGGATTAATGTAACTCTATTATGACAGCTGTGATTAATAGACTTGTATATCAAGTATGTAATTTGTATATCATATTCTGAAAAGAAAAAAATGAAAAACCTTTTGTAATTTTTTGCAAAGAAGTTAATTAATATGTTAAAATTTAAATTCTATAATGTAATTTATGTATTTTATTGCTTCATCCTTTACTTTTTTGTTGCGCATTTGCTTCTTTATTTTGAAGATGAAAAATACTCACTTTGACGTCGTTCATGGTTGGAGAAGTGACTAATTGATTTTGAACAATATGATATAGATCATTCCTTTAGGTTTACTCTAATCTATTCGATGAACGATTTGTTTTTATATTCATTTTAATAAAATGGGAAAAATGAGATAAAATAAAATTTATCATAATGATTAAATAAAATAAAGTAATATGATATTATATTCTTTATTTATTGTTTCCATTGTTTGTTGATTTCTACTTCTGTATTGATTGAAATTATTATTCTAGAAGAAAATTTGAATTATTTTTGCAGAACATAACAGAAAATAGAATATATCGAAGTATAATTAATATAAGTATGGAAATTATAACCTGCAGAAGACAGAATTGCACTACGAAGGGTTGGTCGACGAACGGTTGTTTGACGGCACCACTCCCACACCGAAGCATGGCAAACCTGGTATCGCATTCACGGTCCACTGCCTCAGGATTCGGGTCTCCACCCTGCTTCTACGCTTCTACGTTTCCTCGTAAAAAAAAAGAATGAGAGAGAGAGAAAAAGGATATGGTGAAAGCTACCCATCGTTGACGATCTGTAACCCTTGATCGTTGAATTCGTATATATCGTATATATATTCGAAACATATTTAAATGGCTAGATGAACAATACATTCGTCTTACAAATTACAGTTTTAAAATGTCTACGAAATTAAAAAAGCTATGGAAATTATTTATTGAACTTTTTATTCATGAAAATTTATGGAAATTTATGTTTATTATCAATCTGGAAAATAATTTTTGTTTATTATTATAAATATCAATTGTATTGTGAAAAAATTTGAAGAATATGTATATTAAATGATATTCTTTAATCAAATTCCAGAAAAATTCTTTAAAATTCTTTATTTTGTCTTGCAATATAATATAATATAAATATAATCCAGTCAATATTATTTTTTATAAAAATGTGTTGATTTTTTTATATTTAAAAGCAAAGTTTATAAAAAATTTTATCAATAAATAATGTCGAATAATCATGTTATACCGATTATAAATCTTAAGTTATCTTGCGTTCGTTCGACGAGAAATCTACCTTACGATTGGATCGTGAACGTAAATGCAGTCACCTCACGTGTCTGTTGTATTCCAAGATCTAGTCATGAGTATGGCTGCATGCTAATCAGCAAACACAAACGACGAACAAAAAGAGAAGGTGATTTTAATGCACAATAAATATATATAGAATAATATTCCATTTTAATTTTCTTTTGATACTTATAAAAGAAATTTAAAAGATAAAGAATTTTTCCTATGAGCTTAATCGATATTATTCTATCAAATTTATTTATTTTAATAAATTTTATGCTAAACAAAATTCTGCTACGCAAAATTATCTATCAGTAAGAGGTATAAGTTGTGATCGCGTGGTAAGAAACGGTCGGACGATATAAGTACATAGCAGGTGCGCGTGCAGACAGCTCGAGGCGTTTACCAGTTAACCAAGGGGTGGGCAAACTTTTTTCTGAAAGGGTCGAGTAAGAAGCTGCGGGATTTACTGTGCCAAAAAGGGGTCACGCCATGCTAAAGCGAACGCGCAGGTCTTTTTAATCATCTTGTCAGCCTCGTATAATCCGTGCAAATCGTCCGTAAAAATTCTCACTATTTCCTGGTAGACAAAACTACTGCTGCAACAGGCATAGCTTTTAAAACACAGAGACATATCTGACTTACGTCAACATACTTACCTACCAATAAGAATTTTGTGAAAGTATTTTAAATAAAAACGTCCCGAAAACATATTTTCTTTTTCATAATCATTTAAAATTTACATTGAAATTATTTATTATATAATTTGTTATGAAAAAATATTATTATTTAAAAAAAAAATCATATACCATTTAAAAAATGTTTCTGATAATATTATAATGATAAAGAAAAGATTTCATGAAATATTCCATATATATTAAATTATTTAAGACACTATTAACTATTATATATTACTAATAGATATTAACTGAAAAGAAATGAATATGAAAGCATTAAATATTGAAGAATAATTGAAGATATATGTACAATTACTTGACGTCTAATAATATAAGGATGAAAGTGAGTAAAAGTATAAAGATAGATTTTAATTCAACATGTTACATTTAGTAAAGAGAGAAAGAGATAAAACAAGAAAATGAATGGACGTAACTGTAAGATTCTCATTCCACCAACACGCACTGGCTTTTTGCCAAGTCGTGAGCATAGGCCATTAACGTGCAGGATTGCTTATCAGTTGCTGAGTCCGCGTTATTGCGTCGACGATGACCAACCGAGCGGTGGCAGCGATGTTTCTGTCCCTGTGCCACCTAGATGCCCCCACATTTCATAACTCGCCAGATATCAGCTATAAATGACGAAAGCAATCGTATCCACGGACGTAAGTGCGTCCGTGATATTGACCCCCCATCGATTATGAAGCTATTTGCAAGAATAGTGAAAAACTACGCGCAAAATTCCCCTTCCATTTGATCATACTATTTGATAAGTGCTTGAAAGAACCAATTATACATATAATGTACTAGAAACATTTAAAAAACTGTGAATGAAAAATAAAAATAAATATAATATATTATATATAATATAGAATGAATATGAAATATATTTGAAAAAAAAAAAAATAAAAAATATCTAATGAGTATTACCATGTGACAATTGTTATTCTTAGAAAATATAATTATCGTTGACACTCTATATAATTATCTTATGTTTATTTTTCACTTTTACATCTTAAATTAGTTCATAGAATCTATAACCTATAATTATGGGTTATTACATATTTAATATAAAACTTTTATTTTTATATATACTTATATTAACTATATATAAAATTCCTATTAAGCATTATTATTTAGAGTTTGAATAAATTGAATTATATACTTTAGCAAAAAGTTAATAAACAAAAAGTTTCTTTAAAATTAAAATGATAATAATTTGTAACCTGTGAATGTTTAAATATGGTGGAAGAAATTGCGTCGGTGGTACAGTGTTGCCAGTACGGAAGTATTCGATGACGCTATTGCCAGCTTTGCTCCCTCCAAAATTGCGCGTGCATTGGCAGCATTGTTTTTTGGTAGTTTACAAATAAAATGGCCGATATATGAGGCTATTTTGTATGGACAATAAAATATGCAATTCTGTAAAATTAATGACCATCGGCTGCTCGTGTATGTATATCAAAGTACAGGTTCAGTGCTACGAAATACGAAAAAAGAAGGTGAAGTGTAAGTGAGCGTGTAGGAGTGCCGTGAGAAGAAGGTGGAGGTTGTCTTTCAAGACCCGTGGACGCCGCGGGCCCGAAGACCGAAACGAAGAATCACTTACGGACTCTAATACATTGAAAAGTCAACCGACCACTCTATTTTTTCATTGACGCGTGGTGGCGCGGTGACAACTGTATGAGAACAGCTCTAGATTTACGGAACTTGGTTTACAGCGCACAGGCCCCCTCTGCCGCCTGCTCTAATTCTCTCACCTCGCTTCCTAAATACTGTGTGTTCCTAAGTCTAATAAAATAAAACTTGGGAACACATTCAACATTTGTTATATTTTTTATCACAGATGATAAGAAACGCATGGTGTTAACCACCTTGCAATTTTCACTTTATGAATCCTAATTACTTACAGCTCTCCATTAATATTGAGAGCTTAAATATTATTGTACCCTAGAGCTGCTTCAGGCAGATATGATTTCCAATTCTGAAATTCACAACCAAGATACTGGAGTGTGACGGGTACGTTTATTTAGAACCTTTCAAAATATTTCCTGCCGACCAATTTGTTGTAATAGAAAGAAATGGTGCAGATAATACATTGACAGAGACGGAGGGGCCTACGAGCAGTGCGTCCAGCCAGCCCACCCCCTCCGTTACCCCTCTGTCAAACATGTGCACCACCCCTGGCAACGTGGGCACAGGATTTGGGTATGCCTGGTCCTTTGGAGGACCTGGAGCTGAAACCCGAGAGAATGCACAGGGTGAACTTACTACAAATATTAATTATGCTGTGAATAATAATCAGGACCAAGGATCCAGTCAGAAGATACAAGTTGATATTAAACCTACTAAAGTTGCCAATAGTACGCATCGTAGACCCATGTTCACTATGAATGAAACTTGTCAACAAACCCCAACAACTCATCATACAGCTGGAGCTCATAATCAAACACATGGTACACATGTTCGTACTAAGAAACATCATGATGTGTTTTCATTAACATGTGACAAAGGAGGTTGCAATTGTGATGCATCACACCCTACACCCCCACCTTCTCTTTTTTCGAACACTTTAGTTTTTACTACTGATAAACACGCCATGAGTAAGCATTTCATGACACCACTTGGACCATTACAACTTACGGCAGAAGAGTGCAATGAAATTTTAATGAAAAGAGCAGCAGCTGCTTCAAATCAAGCCAATGTAAACAACGTAGCAACAAGCCAGACAGATAGCACAGCTCATTTTGGACATGTTTTAACACATGTTAATACTACTCAAATTGAAACAAAGGTCAAACAACAAGATATGGGAAGTCAAGTTCGAGTACCAAAAGAAAGACCATATTCTTGTTCAGAATGTGGAAAATCATTTCTTCTGAAACATCACCTTACAACACATGCAAGAGTACATACAGGAGAACGTCCTCATGTTTGTGTTCATTGTGGCAAAAGTTTCGCACACAAACATTGTCTCCATACACACCTGCTCCTTCATAGTGCAGATCGACCCTACCAGTGCAGAGAATGTAAAAAGTCTTTTACACTAAAACATCATCTTGTAACGCACACAAGAGTACATACGAGAGAACGACCATTTATTTGTCAAGAGTGTGGAAGAGCATTTCCTCTAAAACGTCATTTAGTGACGCATAGTAAATTCCACTCAGGAGAGAGACCTTTTGTTTGCGAAGAATGTGGAGAATCGTTTTCTCAAAAGGATCACCTTACAATGCATTCGCGCTTCCATGGCAGTTTACATCCATTTGTATGTCATGACTGCGGAGCAACCTTCCAGAGAAAATTTGAATTAGTGAATCATGGTCGTCTACATGGCAGAGTACCCCATTCGTGTACTGTTTGTGGAAAAGAATTTCTTCAAAAGAGAACACTTCTGGCACATATGCGTTTACATACAGGAGAAACTCCATTTGCTTGTACTGTTTGTGGAGAAGCATTTGCCCGGAAGACAGACCTGGTTACCCATTCAAAGATACATAACAATAATACGAATACAGATGAAAAATCTCTTATGTGCAGGTAAGAAATTTCAATTTATGTATTTTTTTTTTATATTTTAACTATATGTATGTTTTTGTAATAAAATTTTTGAAATATAAATTATCTATTTATATTAAATCTAATATTTTAGGGAATGTGGATTGGACTTCTCGAATCGAGAAGCTCTTACATTGCACTTAAGGTTACATTCTGGTGATCGTACACTTGTTACGGATCTTTGTGGACTAGCAGCTGCCTTCCAACAAACTCCTGGTCATTTCCTCACACCTAATACCCCTGGAACTCATCAGGTATTATTAATATTAGCATAATATGAAAAGTGTATATTACAATCAGAGAATTTACAGATGAATGGACCCATTGCAAACCCCGGTGTTAGCCATATGCATGGTGCAACGCAAACATCACCACCTGTAGGAACAGGTCCGAAACCAAAACCACATGTATGTCCCGATTGCGGTCGTGGTTTTGCACAGAAACATGGTTTGTCTCAACATCAACGACGCCACACGGATGGTAGCTGTCATATAAGATCACATGTGTGCGATAAATGTGGCAAAGCTTTCTATCAGAAAAATCATTTATTGCTGCATCAACGTCAACATATGGATCCTCCTCCAAGTATACTTCGACAGCAACAAAGGCAAGCTGCTCAAGCTGCTGCTCAACAAGCACAACAACAACAACAACAACAACAACAGCAGCAGCAGCAGCAACAACAACAACAACAAGCACAACAACAGGTGCAGCAGCAACAAGTGCAACAACAGGTGCAACAACAACAAGTGCAACAGCAACAAGTGCAACAGGTGCAACAGCAGCAACAACAACAACCTCAACAGCAACAACAAACAACGTGCACTGTAGATACAAAAACGATACAACTTCAAGCGATACAACAAGTGCAACAACAAGTTCAACAACAAGTACAACAGCAGGTACAACAACAACAGCAACAACAGCAACAACAACAACAACAAGCGTGCTCTGTGGACACTAAAGCAATACAGTTAAATGTCACTATGTGAGACGATATAGAAAGTGGGGATTGGTCGGTCCCTGGAACAATAGCACTCCCAAATGCGCACCCTGCTGCCACCCTCTGCACGCACTTCTCTTGTACTAACATTACACGTTAGATATATTTATTATCTCTAGAATCGAATACGAAGTAATCAATTTTATTACAAGAGTATATATACAAAGTATACATATTATATTCTAAATATGTAAGGCTTGTAACAAGAAAATAAAAATAACCATATATTAGTGTTTTACATATACTTTATATATCATTTACTCTAGATATGTAAAATGAAACTAAAAAAATTAGTTGCCTTAATGAGATAATGAATTTTAATGAATATATTAACTATTGTTTGGTGATTTTTTTTTTTTCATTTACTTTTAATTAGTAGGACATCACTTTATAAGAAAATACATATTGAATAAACAAACATAAAAAAAATAAGTTTTTTATGTACTACTGCTTTGTTGTTATCCTTCATGCTGTGCTTGTATGGTGGAAGTTGAGAGAAATGTTGATCGTATGAATGATCAGTAAAAAATAAATATTTGTAGAATGTATCAAGAAAGAGGGAGAGGGTGGCAGACATAGCGCATTTATGGAGCATTTAAAATTGTAGGTCTGCCCAAGAAAAATGAATGGTGTCTTTAAACGTACTTTTTACGTTATTGTAATCGCGCAATTTGTTTAACAAATTCTAGAGAATTAAGAGCGTAAGAGCATTATGAAAATTTATATTCCATTAAATGGATAATTATTATCTTTACGAATTCAAAAGATTCGAATAAAGTTCGAATCGTTAAAATCGTTTTGTTTTTTATACGATTGACGTTCAATTTCTTAAACTTCCGTACTTTCTTATGTTCTTGACTTCGACTTTTTTACTTTATAAAACCAAAATATATGTGAAATCCATTCACATATTCTTACAAAATCATCCAGCAGAGTAAACTTTTGTAATAGTTTCGTCAGAGATATGTAATAGTTAATAGAATTGCGCAAAGAAATGAAAGAAGTAATAAAGGTAGCTTTCCTACATAGTTTTAACATACATATATATTTTTTCCAGACAGATATAAACATGCAATGCGTTTTTCATGATTTTACACGAAATACGACCTAAATTAAAATTGCATTTAGATGAAAAAAAAGAAGTTGTTAAACGATGAAATATTGTAAAACGAGCTTTAATGTGCCTTTTTTCGAGCTCGCGATTAAAGTACCTTTCCTTCTTCAGCATTCCTGCCTCCATATGCACATGAGACGGATTATCTCGTCCAAATAATATTTTGCCCACCGTATGAGGACATGTATATGGGCTATATAAACAACTAGTATTCCTATTTTTGAAACCACGAAAATACGAACATGTAGTACATGTATACAATTAAAATTTTCATTCGTTTCATTTGTGCAATATACAAATTTATTTCGAATTATTTTGTTGAGAAATCAAATATTTCAAATGTAACAAAATTTCATTGCTTGCATATTTCAATATCCTGAAATCTCCCGCGTTTCATACGATAATACAATAAAGAAAAGATAGCGCTTGTTATAAGCGACCTCTGGTAATCATGTCCGGAGACGGATTTATTCAAATGGCGCATGCGCATAGGTCATCGTATATCGTCCCGCCTGCGGACGAACCGAAATAAATCGAACGACGCCGAGCCGATCAGCAGTACGGTGCTCGCTGGATGCGACTGTTTCGCGTTAGTGATGATCAAAACGAGTTGTCGTCGTCGTTGTTTGTGGCATTTCGCGAAGTCGAAGAAGCCGTGATCCGTGATCAAAAGCTCGAGACGGAGAAGAGGCCGAGGACACGCATCGTCTCTCGTTGCCGCGGCCACGGATGCATATGGAGGTGCGTAAACCCTTGTTTCAATGCACCCTCTTCTTATGCACGCGTTCTTTGTTTGCTTTGACAACATTATATACATTTTATTCAATTTTATTGCCATTTTTCTACGATTTAATATGTTTCATGAAATGTGACGTATCCTGGACAATTGAAAGTGCAATGGTTGCGTTTACCACAATTGTTATTGATATATTTGTGTCGAATTGAAAAATCATTATTCGTGATATTTTTTACTTTTACATTGCTTCAAATTAATCTTTTTAAACAAATAATTATATATTTGAAATGCTATTTAAAAAGGTATACGTCCATGCTGTTTTTATTTGATCGGTCGAAACGACGCAATACTATTTTTTCTTCCTTAAAATTATATATTTGGTGTGCAATTATTTAAATCATTAGAATAACTAGTCTTAGACTGAAGATACATATGAATTTTACGATAGTGAACTCTTCCTTGGAAACAGACCGAAGATTAAAAGTACGTGCGCATACGGCATTGGACTTTGTGTACGCTCTCAGCTGACGGGGGCCTGTCAGCTGCCTTCCATGAGAAGATCAGGGCCGTCGCTTTGTGGCGTTCTACGCGATTTTTTCCGTTATCTTGTTTGTCTCGAATTTCATAACCAATTCTTTTTATTTCAATTTTACCTGAATAGTATATTGTAATGAGGATTTTTCCACTTAGTAACAGTGCACAATCTGCCATATCGAAGAGCTCTGTCGTCACGTCCGCATATATGCGTAGGATAAGAATCTATTATTCCATTGTTAATTGATCATCGTACACTCCTATTTGTTAATTGATCTTCTTACACTCCATAAATATGTAATTATATATCTCCAAGTCATAGATATACTTTTTTTTTTTAATTAATTTTTTATTCTTTTTTTAAATTCTTTATATTGTTTTTAACTTATTATAATGTCAATGACATTTTAATATCTACATTTGAAATGATAATTTTGCTGATACTTACCAGCAATGTCACTAAGATAATGCTCGTTGTTTTGTACACATTCGCAGCTGATTCAACCGTCGCATCATAAAAACGTTCTAAGTATTATCTTTTAGTACGCACATACCTTCTTGCGACATTTCTTCTTGCTATGTGTGAATGTGTACAGCTTCGATCGTTCTGAAAAACCTATATAATGTCCAACGTAAAACCTGTGGTAAAGGCTAAGTGGAGAATTGACGTAACGATTGCTTCTTGCCTGTGTGCTTCTTTGAGCTATCAAACTTTCATCGATTTTTGTATCTTAAATATTTAGTGAAATTTACCAACATGTGCATATAATACAAATTGACTCTCGCTATAAAAATTGTGTCATTAATAGAAGCTCTTCAAAGAAATATTTCTATTTTCTTTTTTATGTCAATCGCAATTTGACTACAGATTTCTCGAATCAGTCGAGCACCTTTCGAATTTAATAGACTGAAAACTATTTGATATATGAATGTGTTTATAAAATGTATATTAAAATGCAGTTCGCTTTGAAAGCATCCATGATGCATCTGTCCAGGACGCTTTACATAGAAAATTAAATATGCGCGACGAGTTACGAAGGACGATGACCCGAATTAACTAAACTCGAAGCTGCTGTATGCTGCTTGTTCCTCTCCCGGTGTTTATTTAAGTTGCAGTGGTGTAGCCTCGTACAATTTCTGTCTAACCAGAACGAAGCAACAGTGACCGAACGAAGCTAGTAGAATTATGTCGGTTCGTGCAACGAAAGTTCTTCATTCGTTTTTTCGTAACTATACTATATATTGGCCACATTAATATATTATATATATGTGTATATATATATATATATATATATATATATATATATTGCACGTATATCTATTTTACTTTTCTACAAAAAAATGCATAAATTTCGATGTCGATCGAATAATACAAAATACATTTATTTTAAATGCTACTGTTTTCATGAACGCGTCCGTGGACCTGTTGGACGACGCTTTTGTGTACGTTTACAGCTGATTGGGCTGTCAGCTGAGCTGCGCGCGATAGAACCGTCTCGCAGGCTGGCCAACGCATGTTCCAGAATACTCTGAGGGTGTTTTGTTTTTCTAATAATTTCTTTTTCTCTGTTATTTTTCTATAGAGATTCTGCTAGTTTGAGAGATTCTGCTGATTATACCAGTCAGGGCAATGGCTTTTATAATCATTAAATTGTGTTGCTCATGGTTAAAATAAGGTAAAGGGGATTATATTCGATGCGCATAGGTATAGATATATATACATTTACGTAAGTACTTATAAGTACTTAAAGATCTATAAATAATATTAAATTTAATTTTTTTTTATTCAATATTATTTTTATCCATATTTGTATGAGTAGTACTTGTATGCAACATTGATTTATTATATTCTAACGTGTCTATCAAAATTATTATTTTCTTGCAAAAACAATAATTATATTTAATACTAATCGTTTTGATATAAAAGATTATTGCAATATAGGAAAATATTAGAAATGACCTTTAATTTATTACTATTAGTCATAATGATTAGTGAAACGTGACAAACAACGAAGATATTCATTCATAATTCGATAGTTATGCGTTGCAAGTAAACTTCCGTTAGAAACGTACTTTATTACCGTACCATAACTTAACGTATTATTTTCTTCGCGCGCACTTGATTAAACTCGGCTCTCAATAGTGGTGGGGCTTGCGATCAAAAACCTCGCTATCATTTATCACTCTGTCGCTGGTTCGTTGTACGTGCGTGACCTACGCAATTCAATTTTGCTTTTTCTTGAATTCTTTTTAGACATATTTTTCGTAATAATGATTACACAATATGAAAATAATCAAAAAAAAAGGCATATTTTAACTGTACATTATAAAATATACCGAACATATTAATACATTTAAAAAAAAAAGTTAATTTTTTGTTTTCTTATCTAGTAAATATTTCTTGATATTTTTTTCTTTTTTTTAAATCGATCAGAATAGATTAAATCACGTTACTGTTTTTTTTCTGCTGATTTCACGGAACGATCCCATGTGATGCTTCGCTATAGATTGGATTATATTCTTTATCTAGAACATATATCCCAAACTATTCGAAGTTTTTGTCATGCGCCATTAATTTATTTGTCTAGTAATCATTGCGTGGAATAAGAATAAATAAATATAAATTTCATTCACTGATCCATAATAATTAATTAAAATAAATGTTGATCAAATCGAATGTTCGTTATAATAGATGAATATTTACATTTTATTACGATGCCTAAAATGCATCATTTTTATATTAATAAATCGAATTCAAATTTCATAATTATTTTAATATATTTCTAATATATTTTTTTTATATTTACTATCTATAATTATGACAAGAATGAAAAAAATAATATTTTCAATCTGTGCATCGCTCTCGCTTTGCGCATCATCAAGCGAATGTTTTTGTTTGATTTCACTTGCAGTTGACGAACCAATAATCGAAGCCATACATATACATAAATATACTGCGAATATACTGCGAATAGACAACACATATATATGTTCTATATGTTTATTCGAGCCTGGAATATATACATGCACGCAAGAAAAAAAAGCTGTAGAAATGGAATAAAGATGGAAGAAAGCTCTGATCAACAACGAACTTTAATAAGAAAAAAGCTATTGACTTTATGATTATCGATTTCATAACGTTTTTTTTTTGTAATATATTTCAAATAAAACGCAAGAATTCAAGATTTACACTTAGATTTCCTACTATTACAATATTCTATTATCTTGTTTCATTAAATATAATGAAAATCTTCGCAGCAAAAAATTAACTTATTATCATTATTGTTATTCAGGGATTTGAAAGTATGATTCATTCGTTCTTATACGCATATATTCAACATTATCTACTAGTATATATTACGCAATTCATAGTATTTACAAATTCGAATGTTTTCCCTTTTCGTTATCAGTTAAGATTTAACGTCTTCAGTTAAAATATTTCATATACATAAACATTTATTGATTAAATTTTCATAAGACTTAGTAAAAGTATCAAACAAGAAAAATTTTTTTTAATGGTTTTGTTTTATTTTTAAAAAATGAATTTAATCTATATCCATCTAACATAACTAGAAAAATGTTCTTAGCAACTTGTTCGTCCTTATCATGGTTCGTTTCTTTCTGCATGGAACCGTTATATTGTATATAATTACTCCCGTTGCGTGTGCATGCTATCTTGCCTGTGATCCAACAATCTTGGCTCTTTTAGACATCCGCGCGAATTATTTATAAAACGACTGTGCACCTTACTGTATGGAGAAGTTATCTGCATGCTAAGCAAGAACACTCCGTTGCTTGTCGCTCAGTCCCGCCGCCACGGAGTGTAATGTAAAACTTGTTGCGAAGAAAACGTGCGACGTCTTTAGAGTCATTGTTCTCTTTCTCTCTTGTAGGGGGGGAATACACAGACACACACATACGATAACACTAGGCAATCGCGTGCATGCCGCTTCTCCCGTGTGGACTTGTGCTTGAGATTTCTTAGTTACCGCGTTGATAGAATATTTTCAAATATTTTTTGATTTCTGCAATTTTATATTTATCGTAACATTGGTTGGTAATGTTCTTTTAGTTTGTGAGATAAAAAAACAAATTTATAGCTACTTTTTGTGAAAATAAATGTCTAACTGATATCTGGATTGTATTATCTTTTCTACTTTACTTTGCAACGTTGATTATTTTGGTATCAAAATAGAATAGAATTTGCGTTTTACTATTTCTTCAATGTGTAATATGTAATATATTAAGTAATTTAAGTTAAATTATAATAAAATATAATAATAAAATCATAAAGATTATGAATATTGAAAAATTTATAAAACTACTTTTTTTTTTTATGAAAAAGTTCATTTCTTGTAACATACGGATCCTTATTCGTTGAGAAGTTTGCGTGACTTATTGAAGCCATATCTTCCCATGCATTCAATGGAAAACAAAACAAAAAAAAAATATCGTTGTTACCCGACGATCCAGAGCAGGTTGCATTGCTTTTTTACAAACTATTTATATCGTTATCAAAATAAAATTGAAATACTAAATTATCAAATAATATAATACAATCAATTTTTGCAATTTTATATATACATATATTATTTATTTGTTGTTAATTTGTATTATGAAATTCTATTTATTGTTTATATCGTATTATCATTCAAAGATATTTTGATTGTCACGTAAAATATTATATTCGTGTCAAGATAAAAGTAAAAACGACGCAACACTTCTTGTTTTTTTATCAAATGCTTGATTATATTGCACTTGATACTCCAAGTGTGTATATTTATTATTTATATTGAAGTAAAAATCGATATCTTTTTTGATACAGGAACCATGATCTCGCGATCATTTCTAATATGATAACTTGAAGAATAATATACGTATAGAATTTTTTTTTGTTATATTTATTTAATAAATATATTGTATTATCGTTCATGTTATTTATACATTTTCATGTTAATCTTCTTGCATCATAGGTGATATTATGCATCTTCCATTTGCGAGATATGATCTATAACATACGAATATAATAATGCATATAATACATATAAATGAATTGATTTATCTTATAAACATTCGATCTTTTTGCGTCTTTTATCTTATATGCAATTTTTATTTTAAATTGTTTATTTGCTTTCACACATCTTTCAAGTTTTTATTAATGATGACATAAATTTTAATATCTCTTTAAATATAAGCACAAAATATATCTTCAAATATAGCACAAAAATATATATATATGTATATATTTTAATGTATTATTATAATTTCGATATCTATTTAATTCTATAAATATATTTATTTTTTACGTGAATTTGACAACAATATTCAAATATTTTTGTTATATAAATATCCTGGTATACAAGCTACAATCTTGATTATATTTTCTTTTAGTGATACAAAAAAAACTTAATAATTAAATTTAATTATTTTTAAATTAATAATAATTTAAAAATAAATTACAATTTCAGGATAAAATCAATTTACAAATATTATGAGACATAGTCACATTGTGATTATGTACAATATATAAACATACAATGCAAAACATAAATATCATGTATAAGTCCACTTGATAAATGTTTATCAAATCGTTGCAATTCTCTATTGTTTTTTCTTTTTGTTTCTTTTTCTTTCATCTGTTATCATAAAAGACGTCGATCTACGCCCCTGCATATAATGCAAGTTAAGGCCGTATCACCGTGTACCGCCTTGCATGTGATATGCAATAGAAAACATTTTGTCAATACACGCGATGACGCGTGGAGTCGTGACTGTATTGCATGACCCACGATGCGTGTTCTGTCGATCGTGGGTCAAACACGTGAATACCTTCTCGCGAACACAACTGTTTACTGATCATCTATTTAACCCTTTTCCATATAGGGTTAGTCGTTGAAAAGAATTATCGATTATCGCGTGTGCAGTATTATCGAACTGCAACATAGCGCGCCCTTCTTTATTTTACATCATTGAGATTACAGATGTCTCGCTTGTCGCGCGAATCAATCATAATCTTATTCTTATTAGTACTATAATAGTCACGTCAAATAGTTAAAAATATACAATCTAAATCAGATTATTATACTATAGACTATACTATATATTAGCTTTTATACTATAGTCAACAATAAATAACTTCGTAAAATTTAATAATCGCGTATGTATTATAGAAAAACTTAAAAAATATAATTCGAAATATTATAAAGTTAAAAATAATATTTATATTATCATAGAAGCAGATCTATATGTATACATATATTTATTTGAAGCCGATAATTACGATTCATTCTATGTATATTATATAATTTCACTTCATGTTAGAATTTATATATAACGCTATTTAAAGATATATTTTTTAAATATATATAAAATATACGTGATTTGATCACGAACCGTTTTCTTTTACATGTGAATTATTGATCGAATGCAGATCCTCGATTATGTTGCGGATATACTGTATCGATGTAGCGATGGTTTTTGTCAACAGAATGCTTGTTCGTGATTTTTGTTTCGTCATAAAACATTAGATTTCGATCATTTTCGATCTATGCAATTGAATGATACACGTGTGCAACATATTTCACACGCAATAGTTCTCCATATTATAAAAGATCGATTTTTTTCGTGCAATATTTGAACATTTGAAATTAATATAAGCACTGCAAAATGAAAATTCATACATTTGATCTCTAGCGGAAATTAATTCTTATTTAGTAGCACTTTTTAAGCTACTTATATCAGTTTTATTATACTAACCTTACTTGTTACATCGAGTTAATAAAAGGTTAAGGTAACTTATAATTCTTATTCTATGGTGTAGAACTCATATATACATTTTAAAAGAAGTATCAAAATTTTCAAACAAATAAATCTGTTTATTGAAAAATTTGGGTGGCTGGTCGAGCATGAAATCGATTGATTTCTGATTAAACGTCTATAGCGTATAAACATAGAATTCAAGTCGAGTTTTTTTTTTTTGAAACAGGTGCTATATGATTCTGCGCGAGCTTCGATAGTTTCAGCTTAATTTGCTCGATAGTGATTTCGCTGTAATAGCATCTCGGATAATCGCGCTCATCACGTGCTTGTATTGGATTACCTCATGATGGTATGTGTTGGCTTCGTTGAATGAAGTTTAGTCGAAGATGGCTGCAACTCCTTATTGAATAGAATCAAGAACAATAAATAAATCGAATGTAAACGATTTTACGTACAGATACCGGGATGAAATTAGAATCGGCAAGAATTTTTGTACCATTGGCCGTCAGCCATGTACTCCGCGTGCTTTTATTACGACAATCGTCACATTTCTACTAGATTGGAACCATTTCGTGCGTGTTGTATACGTATATGTGTGTGTGCGCGATCATTAACATAAGTGTTATTTAACGACGCTTCATGAATCTTTACGATCGTTTCAATTTACGATTCTGACAGGCTAGTTCATTCGGTACCATTTTGAATGGTGGTCAATATAAATTGAACATTAACGAAAGAGTACCAAACGATCAGTTTCAGTTGGTGATTTCAATTAATTAAGATAAACGAAGATTGTATTATTATTGGCATTCAATCGATGTTAATTCGCTTTGTCGTAAAATCTAAAGATAGATAATTGATTAATATTTAATTACTGTAATATTAAGCAGATATTTCCGATGAAGACATTTTGCTTTTTATTTTAAGTACGTGATCGCCTCAACGTTCGAGAGGTTTAATGTCACCGATGGAGTTATGATTAAGTTAAAAATGGACAGGTTGGTCGCGCAAACGTGAAATTATCGATGGGAAGAACACGAACCTTAACAAAATTTCTCCTGTAACCTCGTTACCTTCCGCACCGAATAAATTTCCCATGGGAAAATTATGCGATAACGTGATATTAGAGCTATTCATTGAATGTCGTTGATTCTATCTCTTATTTCTTATTTACATCGAATTGAAAGTTTGCGAACTCATTGAATAATTAATATAATAATTAGCTCATCAGGTTTAATCATATAAAAACATGAAATTGAGATTACTTACCCACAGAAAGAATTTTCATATTTTTAGAAAAAAATTGATAAGATATTCAATGATTTCATGTATAATAATTAGGAAATATAATTTTAATTAATATTTAATTTAATCTTTATAGGATACTATTTACTGATCTATATTTCTTAAAAGAATTAATTTAACAACTAATTCTATCGTATTAACTTCATAATATTACGTCAATTTTTTATAAACTTCAAAGATATTAAACGATTCCTTTGTTTTATCTAATGACTATGAATGTTTTGAAATTTTAATGTCAATATTTTTTTTTTCGATTCAGTATCAAAAGTATACGATCAATTATCTTATCATTCTGCCGAATAATATACGACTTACTTCGAAAAGATCGAGAAAGTTATAAACGGTTCCATAGTTCATCTTTATACAATTTTTTCTTTTATCTTTAGTATTAAAATAAGATGGTATTTATTTTTAAAAATAAATTTTATTAGTAAACATCGTGTGAGATAATGCTAATAACAATATTCACACAATTGAAAACATATGTACGTTTCGCAAATTTCACACAAGTTCTTTACTATGCAATTGAATTTTTGAAAGTAGACCGTATATCGAAGGATACCATGAGCGACATCTGTTACACGTGTATTCCCACTGTATGCTTTGTCTGGAACAGGTATATCATACGCGTCATACACCAACGCCTGGTGAAGAAACAAAGCATCTATTGCAGGTAGGAACGGGCTTTCACTGGATTCTTCGTGTCTTATTCATGGCGAGGTGGGCGCGCGCGCTGTCTGCACTGGCATGGGGAAAAAAAGGATGACAAGAAAATCGGAAATTCCGAGGATGCGTCGGCGACGGGTAGCAATGACCTTGGGTCGTGTATTGACTCGAATGTTCCATCTCTTTGTTCCTAACAATTCGTCGGGAAACTTCTTTCTTGCGGTCTTTCTGCGGATTCATAGTCCGCGGCCATCGAACCGCGCGCCACCATTCTATACAGATGTTCCGTATGGTCGTTGTATTCAAGGATGCTCGAATAAGCATGAGAAATTTTTTAATTTTACCTGAGAAACATCTTGAAGATTATATCTTAAGATCTTTTATTAATTTTTCATTTCGTATGTTCAATCTATATAAATTAATATAACAATTCAAGCTATTATAATAATATTATTATATGTATGTATATTTTTTTGTATGTATTTAATATTCTTTACATTTCAAACAATTATTATGTTATTCAATTACAAAGAAGTTTGCTCATTTAAATATGAAACTACGTTTTAAATTTATGATGAATAATTATTCTGCAAAAAATCTCAGATTTTATCATTTTCCTTGTGCTGTTTCTAGCGTGTTATTAGTATATATACTTTTTAAATCTCTCTCAAAGTTCTTGAATTTTCTAATTTAATTTAAAAGGTAAAAAATATATGGAACAAATATTTCAATATATCTTGAAAAATAAATAAATTTTTAATTATTCTTAAACGCCAATTCGTTGTTTTAAGAATATATGTGTATTGATAATAAATTAATAAATTTTACACATTTATGGATGAAAATAATATATGTATAACATGTTGTACATGTATAACATATGGATTTTTTATCTAGAGTAATTATACATCAGGTTTAATTAATTTAAATCAATTATTTGCTCGATACATTAAAATTATGATCAGAAATGTTTCTTGTATCAATTTATTTTTTACATAATATATTAGATTATTTTATTTTCAAGATTGATTAAGGATTTTTTCAAATATAAACGAATTACTATATTAAAATTAAAAATTGCAGAAAGTAAAATGTATGAAATTTTAAGGAACAATTCATTTTTAATTACGTCGCATTCTTTTCCTTTTTATGGTCTTTAGAGTTACTCTCATGCGTCAGAAATAATACAGCAGGAAGCGTGTCCACCAATTGTGTCACACAGACTGCTAATTCTGCGCGCTGCCATAAACCTGAAAAGTGAAGTAGTACCGTTATTGCAAGGCCACGACGAATCATTGTTTCGATTGACTCAAGCTGGAAAAAAAAGAGAGCAAGTGGGACGGAAAGAAAGAGAGAGAGGGAACGTAAACGAAGAAAAGGACGCGACGAAGAAGGATTGAAGAAGAAAAAAAAGGATTAAAACCACAGAAGTCTGGTGTCTAAATTCAAATAAGAGGTTATCATTCTTTCATTCTTATAAAGCAGAAACATCTTGTTCTGGTGCATCAAAACAAAAATTCTTATTTTTGTTTCTACATACGCGACTATATGTGTGTGTGTTTTTTGCAATACATTATGGAAACGAGATGATTACAATTATGCATTCTTCATTCATATTAATGAACGACGATAAATTTTATTTTGAGACTTTTGAATTGAATTTTAATGTTGTTGATACTATTTCTTTTTTTTTTTCTTTTTATGTATATTTTTCATTATTATTTTTGGATAATGATCATTGAAGAAGAATAAAAATTATCTCGCTTCAAGTACTTTTTTTCTTTAGAAGAGAAGATAACAAAAAAATAGTAATTTTATTCACATTTTTTTCTCAGTATTTGGATATTGGTAGAAATCTTTTTCTTTCAAGATTATTTTAGAAACAATTATTATTATTTGAGTATTTTAAATGAAAAAGTTGCGCTTTTGTTGGAGCATTCTTAGTGCTTCCATAGATATGGAAGAAACTTAACGAGTCTGATTGTGAGTACAGTGACCTTCAAACCGCCCAAGGTTACAAAAGGGTATAACAGGATGCAATTATGTTTTAAGAACCATACGTACATATATTTCTTACTACGTCTTCTAACATAATATTGCTTATCAAGCTTTTTTAACTTTGAAATGATCTTGATAAATTATTTTTCTACCAATATACAACTTCAACTGTAATTAATGAGATCATTTATCTGTTCTTTCGATCATTTTTCAAACTTCATTTAACAATCTTGAAGATTATCAACTTACGCTTTAAAATCCCTATTTTTTTCAACATCAGATCTTTTCCTTTTAGATAATTCCAAAGAAAGATCTAAAACAATTTTAGAAAAGAACAAGATATAGGTATGAAAACGGGTTGGAAGCGTGAACACTCAACAAGAAAAGACTAACCCGTACTTCTCCGGTCCTTATAAAGAAGTCTTTCTTTAGGTGCATCATAATAAAGACCTTGTCTCTTTTCTTTGTTTGAACACGCGCCAGCACGTGGCGTAGCCGGTCGCTCGATATGGAACGTACATCAATGCTATTGCGCTTTAAAATGTTCGAGCAGTTTCGCTCCTCCGCCGTTGCGTGTCCGTTATGCATTTCTTATTTTTATGTATACGATGCACCGCATGTTATCTATTCTCTTCCTATCTTTCTTTTTCTTTTATACAACGTTCATATGGAAATTTTTCCTTCTTTCTTTTTTATCTTTCTTCCTTCTTGCTCTTTGTTTTCAATGCTATATAATCTTACTAATAGTAAGAAGGCGCCATGGCGCATGATGCACATTATTTAACGAATCGTTATAAATAACTCGAAATTGATAGTCGTAGAATAATATACATGATAGTGAGTAAATAGTGTGGAGCTCACAATGTAACGAGAGCGCAGATTCCGAAGAATATACGCAAGAGCCAATATTTGTTTTATTTTTAATCAAATCGTAACCGAATGTAATTTTAGTCTTTTCTGCACGTGACTATGTTTGTTTACTACATTTTATTATAACTATATATATATATATATATATGTATATATATGAGAAAAACATGAAATTTTTCTTCCTTTTTCTAAAAAAGAAAAAAAATATTTTCTTAAATGTTTTTAATGTTCTCATTTATATAATTCTTTTCTAGATATTATCTTAAGACAGAGATTCATGATAATCGAATTGAACGCATTGCGTTAGATTAGATCATGCGGCTATTCCTGACAAAGATATATAACACGTGTCGTCATCGTACGCGTTATAACCGCGTAATTTTAAGTTGCACAATACATAAGAAGATACATTATAATTTTTTCATATCAGGAGTCGACGACGATTAGAGATAGAACAAAAATAAAAAAAATAATATTAATAATCGGCGTTCACAGGTGTCCCCGAACCGGCGCTGTCTGAACCAGCTCAACAGCTGATCGGAGTACGAAGCGGCGGTGAACGGGGCCACTATTGCACCACCACCCCGCGATTTGGAGAAATTCGTTATATTAATCGGCCGCTGGTTGTTAACGGCCAAACGTTTCCACGAACAAGAGGAGAAGACGACGAGCAGGAAAAAAAAGTGGCGTTTTGACACTTGATAAAACGAGGGAAGAAAATCAACGACGACGACGACGACCACGACGAAGACGACCACGACGACGACGACGACGACGACGACGACGACGACGACGACGACGAAGAAGAAGAAAACAAGGGCGAAGTTTCCTTTGCTTGCTTGGACACGCCATCATGGTCAAAACTTTTCAAGCATACCTGCCCTCGTGTCACCGCACTTACTCGTGCATTCACTGCCGTGCTCACCTCGCCAACCACGACGAACTCATCTCTAAGGTGAGCCGTGCTAGATCAGGTAACGGACAGACTTCTCGCATTCACTTCCGAGCTCGGTACACACAGCATGTATACCGTGATATGCGTATTATGTGTATGTATATATTGTGTACATATGTATGTAGCTATGTACAGTCTACTGTAATAAGCTTTTTCCTTTTGATTGCAGTCCTTCCAGGGCAGTCAAGGTCGTGCCTATCTCTTTAATTCCGTGTAAGTATGCTAATGTCTTCAGAGTCACAGAGGCAAGATCGAATCGTTTGTTGGAAAGTAGGACACGATATTTTATTTGTGAAACTTCTCATGTTTTTCACATTTCTCCTTCTTTTCTCCTGCTATTTCTATCTATTCTTTCCTGATGCGATAAGATGTTTATATCTAAATAATGGTGATTGAATGATCGTTCTCTTTATTGTTTTAGGGTGAACGTGGGCTGTGGTCCTGCGGAAGAGCGAGTTCTCTTAACTGGCCTTCATGCTGTCGCTGATATTTATTGCGAGTGTTGCAAGACCACCCTTGGGTGGAAATACGTGAGTTCCGTTTTAAATTTTCTTCAAAAATATTTAAATATACATATATCGAATCGAACCGAATATTCTCTAATGTCATTTGGAAATTTTATAGGAGCATGCGTTCGAGTCGAGTCAAAAATATAAAGAAGGAAAGTTTATAATCGAGCTTGCTCATATGATCAAGGAGAATGGATGGGAATAGATTGAGTTGGGGGTAATCTACTACAGCAAAAGAAAGAGAATACCTCTATAAAAAATATACGAGGCCCATCAAAACTTTTCCTGATATAAGAATAATGCCTACAATGTTGTTCTAATTGCAATGTGCGGCCCCCTCCCCTCTGTCAAACCACCAACGAAAGTCTGTGATTTCATTTGTGATTTGTAATCTTAGTAACTTTTTATGTTTCGGACAATTCGACGCTGTTTTTCGTTCTTTCCGATCGATTCATCATACAAGCGATGACACTGGTGATCCGCGGCGTCGCGGATCGATCATACAAGGAAGTATTGTAAAGAGAAAGAAAAAAAAAAAAATTATTTTTCAACAAACTAAAAAAAGAAAAAGAAAAAAGACGGGAAACAAGAAAGAAAGAAAAAAACATATAGAATATAAGGGATAAAAAAAAAAAAGAAAAAAAAATGATAATGATGATAATAAGCGATGGTGAATACGATGACGAAGGTGCCATGGTGGAAGTAAAAGTAGAGAATCGCTCTGTTCGAACAATGGGGTGCCCCCCTAATTTTAATTCATTATCTTTCTAGACATTTTATTGTGAATGTCGCAATGATAAATATTAAAAATTAACGCGTGGGGCACCCCGATGAAAAAATCAAGTTTTTTAATCCGTTATTGCACCGGAGCAGCGCAAGTGCCACGGACTTTGCTGGACTGACTGCCTGCCCGCCGCGTCTATCATTGGAATTTCACTGCCGATATTCCTAATATTAATTAAGATGACTGTGCCGCATAGTAGGCGACGCAGCTGGTAGTTTTTAGAATAGCTTACAAGTATAGCATACTAAAGCCTATGTTAAAATATTATAGGACCTCATGGATATAGAAAATAAGGATGGTGTGAAACGGAAATTGAGAGAATGAAAGACGGAGTGAATGTCTTACATGTATGCTGTGTGCAAGAGAAAAAAATGAAGAAAGAAAAAGGTTTGGTTAATTGTATCGTGTGTACATGTTTGATTTTATGTTCACCATGCCTGCCAAACTGTCTGTTTATCTGCCAGTCGCCATTACTGTTAGTGGAAAAAAAAAGAAGTAACGTATTCTAACATGTTCACGTTTTTGTCGGCTCTGCAAGGTGTGGTATGACTGAATCTTTTTGTCGTGAATAAAAATATTATTGGACTGCGCCTTCTTATGCACGCACTATAGAATATATAATATTGAAGAAAGAAAAATGAAAAAAAGAGTTTAAAAACAAAACAAATTAATTGCTCATTATTTTTAATATCGATCTCATTTGTAAATATTAAATAGAGTTCAGTGACATCGCAGATCACTATTTTACTCGAAGCCCAAATGTATGATTGATTTTCGTCGGTCATTAAATGAAAAAAATTTTATTACAATACTGATTTATCATTTTCACGCTAAACCATTATATAATGACGTAGCGACATTTTAACATAATTAATTTTTTTTTATTAGGACATCATATTTTTGAGACTGTTTGTGTAAATGAAATGGTGTAAACTAATTTTTAGGCGGCTTTTAATGTTACCTTCGTTATTTTTCTTTTAAATTTTGAAATGATTAAAATTGAAGTTATTTATTTTAAGCATGGAGATCACAACATTTGTGATATATCAATAATCGAATTTTAAAATTAAAATAAAAAGTATTCATTATTTTTTTTGTTTTACATCGAAACGAAGGTAGCAAAATGTGCAGGCGTGAAAAACATTTAATTTTTATTTTTTAATAACAATAAATATATCAAGCAAAATATAATTGTGAAATAAATGTACAAAAAATTGGTCATTTTTTATTATGCTAGATTTATTGAAAAAATGCAAATTGAGTAATGGATATAAAAATTTGGTGGGGTAATTATTAAAATATCTAAGGAAAGTCATGTTTATCATTTAAAATGCATACATATGAAAGTGCAGTGTGAATATTTAGAAACGTAATGAATGAATGTGCCGGCCTAATTCTTCATGCTGTCTCTTAAAGAGTACTTTTTATATTACTGTGCCGATGCCCTTTTACCCGCACTCACTTTTCCAGAAATCTTGTTGAATTGTCCCCACCAACACTAATTCCGTAGTTTTCAGCCTCCACAACATCCACCATTTCCACCATTACACAATTTTGCTTTGTAAAACATGTTCATAATAAAAAAGAAATACAAGGTATTTAATCGAAATGGACTCATTTTATTTTGAATGTAGAACTTTATTATTAATAAAAATTAAATAATCATAGAATATTCTATATATTGATTATAAAAATGAATGAAAAAATGATTTAAGGTCTTTTTTATCGATAGAAAAGAAAGGATAAGATAATGTATATAGACAAGATACAGAGTAGATCTAACATTCAATAGATTTTTATCTCGGAAGGGATTAAGACTTTCTTATTATTTTAGTGTCATTCTCAACATTATCGATTCGATTCAAAATAAAATTGCAATATTAATTGAATTTGAAATTAAATTTGAATATAAAATTACACATAAGAAATAGAATAAATATTCTATTATGCATATTACTAATCCTATATTTAAATTTCATTGTTGTCGCTGAATATTGCTTCGTGTCAAAACATTTGTGTTATATTTAGAAATCATCGGTATACACTGTAAAACTTAAAATGTAATATCTATATTTTTTACATTAAAAATTAAAACACATTAAAAATTATAATTTTGAAAGAGAAATAATGAAAATGTTTAATTGATATCCCTGACTAAGACAAGTTTAGATATAGCGAAATAAATAATGAGCGAAAAACAAAAATAGAATAAAAATATTGAAATCGGTACTATTTTCAGAAAAATGCAAACGAAATATATAAAGAAAAAACAGAAAAAAATGAAAAAAGGATAGAGATAAAATAAGAATCGATTGCTAATACGATTTCTTGAATGTTTTAAATGATTTTATCAAAAAATAAGTTTTTGATATTTTAGAGATAATACTGATGGTGAATTTTTTTTCTATATCTATTCTTCTACTATTTGCTGTCTTTGGTTAGTTTATTTGCAACATTGATGGTGATTCTCATATTTTTATTCTATTTCTATCCACATTTTCCACATTTGTTTTTTTTTCAAGAAACAATTTCTATATTTGATTATTTTTATTGTCTGTTATTAATAGTAACAGTTACAATAGTAGTAATTAGAAAATCTATGAATAAAATTCAATATATATAAATCATAAGAATATTTAATAAAAGAACATATATTTTTAACAAAGTTGTATTTTAACATATTTTTAATAAAAAAAATTATTTTTAAAATCTATTAAATTTATCTTTATTATCTTTAAATTTATCTTAATTAAATCGAATATAATTTCTGTATTTATTGCTTTAAATAGATACATTGAACATTGATTATTTGCGCAATCGGTATTTCAGAATATGGGATACAAAATTCCATTAAATGTTGGATCTATCCTATATCTTGTTTGTGGTATATGTACAATATTCAAGTCGATGCGCGATGGCTGCGTAACATTGAGATTGCTCCGCGATCTTTTGTGGTTCCTCGTTGATTTCCTTATTTTTTTTTATCTTTTAGTTGGCTTAAAAATGTTATAGATTTTTCTAAGTTTCTTTCAAATTGTAAAATATTTGTATATTGTGACTTTTATATCAAAAATGAAGAACGCAAAAATCAAAGCAAGGTAATTGATTCAATTGAATAGTTTTGAAGTAATTATACTTGTTGCTTCTGCTACTGAAAACTATTTCGATAATTATATTTATTTTTTTATAACATTATATTATATATTTTCTTATTTATTAAGAAATTCATTGAAAAGTTAATATTTTATTAATTTTTTTTAATAATATCAAGAATAGTAAACTTTTTAACCTCGAAAAATATTGATTTTTTTTCTCACTTATTATATACAATAGATATCTCAAATTTATTCGTTCATGTAGAATCAAATATATAGCTTTTTATTTTTTTTGTAATATCATATATTTCATATAATTTATTTTAATATTTATTTTTTTAATATCTTAAATAAGTTAATTATTAAATTAATTATTAAAAAAATTTTAAATATTCATTGAAAATTGTTATTTCTTTATTATCATCATAATATTTATTTTCAGACAATGTATAGAGAGATTTGGAGATCAAGGAGGCTATTTTGATGTTGTTGTAAGACCTATGTTACAACAAGGACATGAAGGAGAATTATGTGGCTGGTTAAAAGAAATGAGTTTAATTAGAACTGTTTCTACTTGTCCACACCCTGAATGTAAAGGAAGGAGTTTGGCTTGGAATCAAGCAAGAATTGTAGATAAATATAGTTGGTCTTGTCCTAATTGTACAAGAAAGCAATCTATTAGAGAGAATTCATTTTTTGTTGGAGTTAAATGTGACCTGAAAATGTGCCTTCAATTGATATTAGGATGGTGTCAAATGATACCTAGTGAACACACTGCCAATTATTTAGGTATGTTTCATATAAATTTTTAAATATTTTGAATAATAAATTTTATATATTTTATTTTTAGACATAAAAAAACACGTAGTTAAGAAAGTATATGAGAGATGTGATGAAGTTTCTGAAAATTATGTAACAAGTCATCCAGAGGATTGGGTTCTAGGAGGTCAAAGTGCAATATTAATTGTGGATGAATTTCCTAATGGCTATATGACTGAAAATCCTTCTGATATAACTAATGCTAAGAAACGCAACAATAACTCTCATACAATAGTATGTATAGCAGAAGCAAATACAATACCAACTAGAATGTGGTTTCATATGATTGAAGCATTTCCAGAGGTATTATTTTTTTTTTTTTTTAATTTTTATAAAATTATTTGCAATTATATTTTTTTTCATTTTAATATTATCATTCACTAGCCACTGAAGATAGATAAATCACAATGTGATATTGATAAATGCAACATGGTTAAAGAAGCTTTAAAAGAGATTGCAAAACACAGTGCTCCTGGTAGTTATATTGTAGCAAATAATCGAGCTCGTTGTTGCAGTTTTGAATTGCTACAAGAATTAAAACAATATAAAGTAATTAGCGTAGAACAACTCCAGAAATTTGATCCACCAGGAAAAAATAAACTTCTTAATAATCTAGGTATGTATGTATATTGCTTGTTATCAAATATTATATAAAAATATTATTATTAATATTGTTTGTTAAGAAACAATTTGGCAAACTGGTGTTGAGATTTGCGAAGAAATTCAAGAAACTACACATACTCTAGGACAGCGTATAATATCAAAGCATTTATGGAGGCAAAGATTCGGTACGTCTCCTTCTACAGCATTTCAATATATGCTTAATCATATCGCAGAATGTTATCGCTTTGTTTAAATTGATTTATTATTTTAAATAGCGTATTTTTCTATACTGAAAAGCAATATCAAATGCTAGTGAATAACTTCTTTTTTGACGATATGATTTTGTAAAATAATTTTAACACAAATTAATGTACCATAAGTATAATATTAATTACTAGTTAAATCGATATTCTATATCCTCTAAAATATACGCGTTATGTTTTGCATTAGCAATGGCCTTGCTAATATTAAAAAAAAAATTATTCATTACTTATAAATGAAATATATATATTATAAAAAATATCTCATGAAAAGAATATTACAATCTAATGTTTCATTGAAACACGCACTTTGTGTCTTCCAAGTATCAAAATATTAATACTTTTTAAACTTGAATTTATATAATGATTGTTATTATAGTTAGAATTAGAATATAATGCAAGATAAATTTGAATTTGTTAATGCACATTTAAAACATACTGTTCACTTTATATCATTCAATTTTTTTACAAATTTAAATCAACAAACTAGTTATTAAAAGACTGATGGTTGATATTGATATAATATCAAATTATTAATGAATCAAATTAAATTATAATTATCAAATTATATTTCTTCAAAATTTATAATTGATATGCTAATTTCAAATACTCAAAAAATTTGGATTTTAAAATTGATAGAAAGAACTTTTTTCTATTTGTTTCTTAATGTAAGTATATGTGTATCAAAAAATTAATTTACGATTTTGCTTACAATTGTTAATTATAAGATTCTGTAATATTAAAATATTACCCAATCATCTTATAGAAAATTTAAAGTGAAATGTTTAATATCAGGTGCAATTAGTACCAATATATAAATTAGATTTAAATAGAATTAGATTTAAAAATTTAAATAAAACAAGTTCACAAACAATTGTCAATTTATAATGTGCTATTAATACTTACATTAGTTATAATACTTAATAAGAAACTAGTTTTATCCAAAGTTTTACACCAGTATTATTCTAAATAATATTCTATAATCATTTTAATGTAAATTAAAATCACATTTATATTTTGTTCAAATTATGGTCAGTTTTCTTTAGTTAAAGTCACTAATTTAGTGACAGAATATAGCAATTATATATCAGATGTGATAAAACTGACTTTGTGATATGGAATTGTTAGTTTTCTTTGTTTTTCAAATTATATCACTAAAGAATGAATAAAATATCAAGGTTGTCAAATTTTTAAGAAGTTTTCTTAAACAATGTGATAATGACGTTACTTCGTGCGGTAAAATATTATATATTAGTTAACAAGATAAGAAAATTATTTTATAAGTTAATAGAATTTAATATACTATATTATATACTATATTATATGATTAAGGCTTTTTATTCTTAAATAATATCATTTTATAAGATTACATAACAATATTGAAAAACAAAATTTTTTTATTAAAAAAACTAAAATATATACAATATTTTTATAACAATTAATCATCTAGCAATATTGTTATGACTTTACATGTTTTATACCAAATTGTAATGAAAAGTTGTAACATGTTTTATAAAATCAAATCTACATTTAAATATTAAATAAAGCAATATTATTTAATATGTCGCGTTTAAATCTATCATTTATCATTTATCATTTAAGGTAAGAAAATTACAAATATTTCCATATATATCTTTATTTACAACAAATAAAGATAAAAAATAAAATAGATAACAAAAATATATTTCAACATAATAATATATATAAAATACTATTAATTAATAAAAAAGTTGTATAAGAAATATCATATTTTTTTATATTATTTGCTAATTATGAGATTCTATAAGAGATTTTTTTAAGTATAATTCCTCATTTTATTCACTATAGTGTTA